CTCGAGCAGCATGCGGAGCTGTCAGATGGCACAGTGGCTAGGGTTGAGCACCGGACGCTGGCTGCGTCCGGTCAAGGTGGACCGGATGCGTCCGGTCGAAAAAACATGCCTCGAGGAGCTTACTGGAAACGACCGGACACTAGGGCTTCAGCGTCCGGTTAGTTTTACCGGAGCGTCCGGTCAGCTTCACGACCGTTGAAATCTGACGAACATCATTTGAAGCAGGGGACACGTGGCGTGAATCACGTGACCGGACGCTGAGGGCCAGCGTCTGGTCGATCGGACCGGAGCGTCCGGTCACCCCGCGTTGTGCCCAATGAAGGGGTACAACGGCTCTATTTCACTGGGGCTCTATTTAAGCCCCATGGCCGGCTGTGGCTCACATCTTTGGCCATTTCTACTGACATAGCATACTTGTGAGCTTAGCCAAAGCCTTCCCACTCATCTACATCATTGATTCATCATCATAGTGAGATTGGGAGTGAATCCAAGTGCATTGCTTGAGTGATTGCATCTAGAGGCACTTGATGATTGTGTTTCGCTGCGGATTTCGCTTGTTACTTTTGGTGGTTGCCGCCACCTAGACGGCTTGGAGCAGCAAGGATCGTTGAGTGGAGGAAATGATTGTCTCTGACTCCGATCGTGGTGATTGTGAGGGGTTCTTGACCTTTCCCCGGCGGAGTGCCAAAAGGTACTCTAGTAAATTGCTTGTGGCTTGTGTGATCCTCATCTTGTGTTGGTTGTGTGGCACCCTATTGAGGGTTTGGCGAGTGATGCCAATCAGCGCGTGAACCTCCAAGTGAGTGAATCGCCACAACGAGGACTAGCTTGCCGGCAAGCAAGTGAACCTCGGTAAAAATCATTATGTTCATCATTTGATTCCGAGGTGATTGGTCTACATTGGCACTCATTATTGTGATTGATTGGTTCCTACCACTACACGGTGGTATAACTCTCTTGCTCACTCTTACATTACCGCAAACTAGTTATTAAGCTCTTTAGTGTAGCTAGTTGTGAGAGCTTGTTTGTTTGATTAGTGTTGCTCTTTAGTTAGTCTTTGAGAGCACACTAATTTAGCTAAGTGTCATAGCTATTGTGTGGACATACACTATTCGAAATAGAATTATGGTAGGTGGCTTGCATTTTAGTAGGCTAGCGCAACACTCGCTTCGTCGCAAAATTGTCTAACACATTTGGTTAAGTGTTGTTGTAGAATTTTATTAGGCTATTCACCCCCCCTCTAGCCATTAGGACCTTTCACCTGGGCAAAGTACAGGAGGCCTCCGTCATCCTCGTTGATCCTCCGGTTTACGTCGTGGGCGATGGCACGTGCGCGGCCACCATCCCCACGATGTTCGATCTCGTGTTTGAGCTCCATGCGCTCCTGCTCCAGCTAGAGGCGTGCATCTTTGAGCTCCTGATGCTGCGCCCTTAGCTATTTCACCTTCATGCGGGGAAGGGCCCCCGTATCTTCCTCATGGATGCTTTCGAAGCGTCCCTCGGGGGTTCCTACCATAAAATATTCTCACGAGGGGTGATGGCTCCCCTAATGGATTCAGAGTCAGAGATCGACTCTGAATCTCCTACGAGAAGGTTGTGGAAAGACTCTGCAATGTAATCGTCCATTCCCATGAATTTGTCATCCGTGGGAGGCTGGTACTTGCGTTGTACTGCGAGGTAACCAACGGTCCTCACGGCATTGCGTAGACCGAACAAGAATGTTGTCGGGGCATCCCAGGTGAGATATTTTGGGGAGAGCGGCTCCCCTCTAGCAAGCTGCGTCATGACATTGGCGAAGGAGAAGGTGAGGTAGCGCACATCCTCCTAGGACGGTTGGGGTCCCAGGAAGGCATCGAGCTGGCGCTCCAGTCTCCCGTAGTCAAAGCCGAGGAGCTGATCGCTCTCGGGGACACAGGCCTCTGGTGTGCGTAGCTATAGCTTCTCGAGGGCTTCGACGATTGCGTCGAGGCTGGTGGAGCGAAGAAGTTGGACGGGGGCGGGAGCCCGCGCCAGCTCTTCCTCCCCGGTGATGATGAAATCCAGCCCCCGAAGCGCACATGTGCACCCGGGACCCAGCTGACGCCATGACTAGCCATCCTTGGCCTGTTGTGGATGACGAGATGCGCAAAAGGCCCCTACCTGGCGCGCCAACTGTCAGTGTTTCGAATCACCGGCTAATAAATTTCTAGTTTGCGCGTCTAACTCGGATGGCTGTGCTCGGAGGACACAAGGATTTATACTGGTTTGGGCGAAATGTCCCTACGTCTAGTATACTGCTGCTCGTGTTACCGACACTTGATTTGTAGTAGGGGTTACAAACAGGCGAGAGAGGGAGAAGGTCCCAAGTCTCTGGTGAAAAGAGTCAGTCTAGTTGAGCTCTCTGTCTTCTATCGAGTGCCTAAGCCTCCAGCCGCTCAGACGTGTTAGATGTGTGTGAATGGCCCCCCTCCTTGGAGTGCTCTGCTTCCCCTTTTATAGATGAAGGGGAAGATACATGTTACGTCGGAGAGAGAGAGACTAGGAGAGGAAGGCTTCCGGGATCACAACGTCTTCCATCTCCTTTACGTGGGTCCCACGATCCTGTAGATGACGACGGGGATAGCTCCACTTCGCGGCCCCATTCGTCACTGGCGTCGTATGAGGGCGTCGTCAGCTGGTCGTGGCGCTCCATCCTGTCCCAGCAGACGGTATGGCTCATAGACGCCTCCGCTGGAGGTCGTACGGGGAGTAGGTAGCACAGCGCCGGCACACCCGATGCTATTGGTGGCGTGCGTCCTCAGATGTGGCGAGGCAGAGTCTACACCCTTGGGGTCGGACATGACGGGGCTCTCGCCCGAGGGGTCAGGCGTGACGGAGCTCTCGGGCGAGGGGTCGGGCGAGATAGAGCCCACATCCTTAGGGCCGGGCGACCCGGATCCCGTATCCTTGAGGTCATGCAAGACGGAGACCATGCCCTCGGGGCTAGACGAGACCAAGATACGCTCTTGACCATCCGAGGAAGTTAGCGTTCGTGGCCATTAGCTTCCTTCTTCTAGGTATCCCTGATACTGATACCCGACACCACTCGTGTTTACCGTACAATCAGGTGGTGGTTTGTGATACCAGGCAAATGGGGGTGAAAATGGATGGAAACGAATGGAAAATATTATCTTCTATTTTCGTTACTACAAGTCGAGAGCCGTTGCGGTAGCGGGATATACAAAAATAGATAGATCGATAAAAAATAGACAAAAACAGATGGTAAATGGGAATTTTAAGCCAAAAATAGATGCCACATGGCAGCTCAATTACATAACATATGGCAAACTGAATAAGTATACACATAATACACTCATGTCATGTCATGTCATGTCATGACATACATAAACACAAGCCAAACTGAATAATGTACGCATCACAAGTCACGAGGTGATAGCATAAGCCAAACTGGATAAGTACACCTCACAAGTCACAGGTTCACAGCATGACATACATAAGCCAAACTATAAGTAAATAAGATAGTACACATAGACTTGACAGTAGTACAATACACACATGGCAGCACATGGCAGTATAATATCAGATCACAAATAAGTCCAGAATTCCACAAATAAGTCCACAAGACTTTGAAATGATAATCGACAAATCACACAAGATCATGTGTGAACAACAAGTCTACCAACAACACATGTGAACAAAAAAGTCCATATGTTAAAAGATTGGGAAATTTTGCTCAGGGACACTGAAGAAAGGCTTTATTTGTTGCCGGACACTGCCAACTCGTGTATTTGCTGAGTACCATTATGAATCGCTGTTTTTTTGCCAGAAGACACCGTGGCCATTATTTTAATCTTTTCTATCATTTGGGAGAGAGAACGAGCAGTGGATGGACAAAGTTGCCCCTAGCTCGGTTAGGCTCTGCCAATATGGTTCGGTTGAACCAGGTTGTCCGACCCACTGGTCGTCTTCCTCCTCGAGACATCCCCAGCCGTTCCCCTTCCCCTTCTTTCCCACTCCCAAACCAAGTGGTGCTGGAACCCTAGATCCCTTGATCTGGCGATGGCATCCAGTTCGCACTTTGCGGCGGCGTCTGCCCCCACTCCCGAGCTTGACCCCTTCAGGGATGCATCTGGGTTCTTGCCCTTGGTTTCCTACTCCAAGTGCGGGACGAAGCTCATCGGCCGGGTGTCGCAGAAGATAGGTAGCAAGGGGAAGAGGTTCTACAAGTGTCCTCTGCTAGAGCATGTAAGTGATTCTAGTTCCGTGGATCTCTAATTTTGTTTGCAATGGTGGTTTGAGATTTGGAATTCGGCTTTTGCAGATAGATTTTGCACGCAAGGTGTACATGTTTGAAGAAGACTATGTCGAGTACTTGGTGGTTGGAGGCCACCTTCCTCGCTATTGCAGTCGGTTTAGAAGTGCGAAGGTTTCAGTGGGTGCAGTCAAGGCGAAGGATGGCCATTACATGTTGATAGCAGCCGTAGAAGGTGTTCAGACCTTCACTGGTTTGTTGCAGAGCGCAATCGCCTCTCTGAATGATGTGGAAGCAAAACTGAAGGCTCCATCTCAAACTGAAGCCAAGATGGATAGGATTGGAGAGCGTCTGCTTATTCTTGGTGTGGCAAACTTGGTAGTTGTAGCGTTGGTTCTGATGGTTTTGATTTGCAAGTAAGGCAAGCAATGTGTTGGTGCTCATGTATCTCAGTCCTTATGTAACTGTTGTAGGCACATGATGCATTGTAATGTAATGGGTTGACATGTGAACTTAGAGATATGACATGAGCTGTTATCCTTCAATATCACTATGTGCATTGTCAACCAAGTAACACTGAGCAAAGCAAAGATAGTAGACATAACATCTTAAAGCATGATAATCTTAGAGGTAGCTGACAGTAATTAACATAACATCTTGAAGATACATGCCTTCACATGTCACAGTACACCTTAAACATCACAAATCGAGTGTCACATGACATCACATGTCAACAAAAGCAATTGTTTTAGACACTTCAGTACTTAAACTACTTGTGCTTATCCATGACTAGTTTCTTCTTGGCTGCCATGCCAGTAGTGTTCTTCCTCTTTGGTGTCCTCTTGGTCGTCACCTTGATCTTCTTGGGAGGGGATGAACTTCCATCTGTCATGGCCAACATCCTTTTGTGGCTACAGGTGCAGAACTAAATGTTAGTATGTAGTCTTTGGATATCATAGTTATGTCAAGGCAATAAGGCAAATAGGTATAGGTACCTTCTAGTGTTGGCTGCAGGGCTAGAAGGTGCTGCTGCAGCACTTGCAGTGCTTCCTCCAACCTGAGACTGTTGGGTAGAAACTGTAGAAGCTGGCTTGCTTTTCTTTTCCTTGCTTCTTTTGGGCTTAGCTGCTGCAGGAGGAGGTGCATCTGAGTCATACACTGTCTCATTGCAAGTCTTCATCATGTGCCCAAATTGACCACATCTTTTGCACTGCATCTGTCTACGAGTTCCCTTGCCACCTTCTTCAGCTCCCTTCAACCTTCTTGTCCTTGGTCGTCCTGCTGATCTTTTAAAAGCTGGAGGCCAAAGTTTAAAGCCTATCTCAACCTTAGGCCATTGGCTTCTATCTGTCATGGGATGCACAACCCCTTCATAAGCCTTCTTGAACATGGCTACAAAATAGTACTCATGTACATAATCTTCCACATTCCTATTCCTCAATGCATTGATCAAGCAAAGTGCATGAGTACATGGCAGCCTAGTTATCTGCCACCTTTGGCAGCTGCATGATGTGTTGTCCAAATAACAGTGTGTCTCCAAGTTTTCAATTCCTTAGTAATACCCTGAATCTCTGCTGTGTTGTTAGGTCCTTTGTGTATGACATAATTCAGGTTCCTACTCCTGGCATTTAGGTCCTTTGTGATGTTAGGTAGAATCCTATCATTTAGCTTCTCTGCAAGTGTCCTTCTCGCTGCATTTTTCTCTATGATCATCTACCTGATCGTATCCATCAGAGATATGACTGACTATGACTTCTCCATTCTGATCCAACTATTAAATGTCTCTGCAATGTTGTTTGTTACATAGTCACATTTGCTGGCATGGGAGAACTTCCATCTGTTCCACAAGTGCTTATGTGTTTGTTCTATCCATTTGATTGCATTTGGTGAAGCCTTCTTCATTATGTTGTAATGGTACTCATAATGCTGCTAGTTGTATGCCCTGCTGCATGGCCACAAATGCTTCTTGAACACAGCACCTTTGTACCTCTTCTGGAAGTTCTTCACCAAATGCCTCATGCACTCTATGCTCAACTCCATTTGAAAAAACCAAAGTCACTACACTGTCAATTCCTTTACCAGCATCTGTAGAGATTATAAGTCCTGGTGGGGAGCCAATTGCAGTCTGTAGCTTCTCAAAGAACCATTTCCAACTGTCAGCGGATTCTGAACCAAACACACCATAAGCAACTGGAAACAACCAGTTGTTTCCATTTACTGCTGATGCAGAGGCTAGCTGTCATCTCCACCTCCCTGTTAGCACTGTTGAATCAACTCCCAAGAAGGGTCTGCATCCATTTAAGAATCCATCAACACATGACTTTAGTGCCACAAACATCCTTGAGAATCTCATCTTCTTTCCCACATTTTCCCATTCAATTTCCACAATGCTACCAGGATTGGTTCTCTCAACCTCTGCCTTGAAACTGAAGGCATCATCGAAACCATCGTTCCACTTGCCATTAATTTCTTCTAGAGCCATCCGTCTGCCATCAAAGACCACATAGTATGACAAAGTAATGTTATACTTCTTCTCGGTCTTTCTTCAATGCTGCTGCCCCTATTGTCGGTTCCTCTCGGAGGATGTCAATTATCCTGTCCCTCACCCAGGCATTGTTAGCCATACAATTTTGATGCAGTTTAGATGTGCTTGGACAAGTATGCTTCTCATACATCTTCTTTATCTGCAAAGCAGTTAAACAACAAAAACAAACATGTTCACAAAATTCACATTTAGTAACCCATCCTATCAGTTCAATAACAAAAATGATTCAATAGCATACCTGCCAAGTTTTGCCATCTTGCAGCTGAGATGCATGAATCCTCCACTTACACCTCTTCTTCTTGCTCTTTGAACCCTTGCAGACCCCTCTGTACCTTGTTGACTCACTGTAAAAAGCTACAATTTCAAACTCATTTAGTACTGCAAATTGCCTAATTGCTCTCTTAAAGGTATCCCCATCCTCAAATGTGACCCCACAAGCTATGGTTGGGTTTTCTAAGTCAGTGACATGTTTAAAAACTTCACAACCAGCTTCATCATCAACATAAAGATCATCCTTACCACTACCGTCAGAGTCATAAGCATCAACATCTGGACCTGCATTATCATCATTAAGGCCAGACATGTAATGGTTTTCATCATTCACCCCCACATATTCTTCTTCATCTTCTTCCCAAGACACATCATCATTAGCTACCTCCTTTCTTTTCTTCTTTGACCTTGGAACACTTTTCATCTCTCCATCAGTATCAGTGCCACCATCACAAACATCATCACAAGGATCTAGCTCTGCATCATCATGGTCACCTGCTTGAACAAGGGGTTCAAGAGCAGGTACTGCCTCATCAGCAGAAACACTCTGACTATATGCAACTGCAACCGTGTCATACACCCCCACATACACAACCAGCTTCCTTAGATCCCAATACATGTCAATAGCATTCATCAGCATGGAGTCAGTACTAAGAGTAGAGTAACATTTTCTCGGCTTGTTGTAAAAACATAGATTCAAGCCCTTGATTAGCTCCGCAAGCGACCTTAGCTGCTACATCGTTAGTAAGATCCTTCAAATTTGTAGTGTCCCTATCAACCACTAGTTGGAAATCAGCTGTAAGAGGATTAAGATTCGGAGTGGCCCGCACATCAATCCGGCAGGCGATACTAATGTCCATCCTAAAAAATGGACAACAAGAAACCATGAAATCCCTAGATTCGGCCCAACAAATACTAAGATGAGCAAGACAAATCCAACCACAACAAGCAAATGGGGAAAAAGGACACGAGAGAAAAGGGGAAGAATAGGGCGTACCCTTCAGGAACCCATGCTAGATTGAGCCCCTTCGAAGGGGAATCTACACTTGGCCGCAAGCGCTTCACTTTTCCCGACGACACCATCCTCAGACGTCCATCAAACCATGGGCGCGAGCCGTGCCGGAGGAGGCGGCGGAAGCCAGGTCGTCGCCGGAGCTTCGTGGATGCGGTAAGAGATGCGGCGGCGCCTGTGGCTGAGTGCGAAGGGGTTAGGGTTTAACAAAGGGGATGTGTGCCTTTGACCGACGCAGTCTGGTTCAACTAGGGGCATCGAGCGTCATTTTCAAAATTTTCTCTCTCCAAAATGACAGAAAAGAGTAAAGTAATGACTGCGGTGTCTTCTGTCAAATAAACCGTGATTCATAATGGTACTGAGCCAATAAGCGAGTTGGCGGTGTCCGGCGGCAAATAACGCCATTCTTCAATGTCCCTGAGCAAAATTCCCCTAAAAGATTTCTTCCTAGCTCACTATCTTCATTCATTACATCTGGATCACTTTCCACTTCTTCCTGCATTTTGTAGCACATATGTTTTTTTTGTGACTAACTGCAAATGTAAAGCTATGTTATTGATTTTAGGTTGTTGCAAAAATGGTTATGAAATACCTTATCATCAACGGTGGAGTGACTAGAGCTCAACCAAAATGATGGAATATATTTGGAATATAGAATCAAAAGAAAGATATCCGCACCACTTTACAATGTTGTACCATTCATATTGATCAACTATATACTGGACAATTCAAATTGAACAACTAGGGAAAATATTACCATTTCTTATTGCATGTATCCAATTTTTGGTACCGACACATGTACCATCTTAGGATCTAAGCAATTATAATATATCCACAGCAACTCAGCTAACAACACTAAACGTAGACTCAGCAACCAGTGTTGACATTTGTATTGCCATCGTATACCGAATAATTTATGCAAGACTGGATACTTATCGATATTGTTCTTCTAGTAGGCGGGAGCACCTAGATGCGTCGATAGCGAGAAATAACAGTAGCACGAGCAACCATCGACGCCATGGGGATGGAGAAGGGCGAGGGGAAGCAGTAGCGGGAGCGGCTGACGCTTGCGGAGGTAGCCGCAAGAACAAGTGCGGAAGCGGCGGGGATACTGCGCTGGGAATAGAGAGGGACCAAGGGAGTAGGATAGAGAAGGACTGACAGATAAAGTGTCGGGAGAGACAAGAGTTGGCTTTCTTGTGCCCAACGAGTAACAGGAAGGGGAGCTGGAGAGCTCCCTTGCCCCGCTTCACCCAACAGGACTTGTTTCTACATGCCAAGATCCCATGAAAAGCAAATTCATTCTATTTACATCTCCTAATAAATAAATTTCCTATTAGGGATCGAGGCCCATTGTCATCCCTAGATGAGAGAGGAAATTGTGTGTGAGGGTGGTAGAGGAGCGTTCAGGCCCCTTTGAAACAAATGATTGTAATTCAGCCGGCTGAAACTGTTTTATTGTGAAAAAAAATACTGATATAAGTTCTGCAGGAATGCAATTACTACAAATCAGATGATTAGAAAGTACATAAACCTATAGAAGATAGGTATCTGGATACTTATAGGAAAGCTGTAGGAACAGGGATATATTATGAAGTGCACGATCCCATTCGTTGATTTAATTAATGGCGTCGCAGAGCTCAGACTTTATCCCTTTCCAAGCTGATTGTTTTATTCCACTCATTCTTAAGTCCATCATTATTTTATTTTATTCTATGGATTGTTGATTCCTGAGTTTTCTCTTTGAAAATCCCCCATTCCAATGGAGCCCTGAATGTTTTTGGGCTTGAGCTGAAAATACTTCTGCTGGCCTTTTGATCCGCGGGGCAAAACGCATCGTCCCAAGTCCCAAGCATATGCCAGCGCGCTTGACGAGTGGGACCGCTCGTGACTCTTCCCGGTCCAGACTCCAGAGGGACATCTAATTATTTGCCACTCTTACGGAGGCCGACTCTCTGATTGCCAACTTTGTGGTGGCAACTACAAAAATATCCTAGAAAATAGTAACTCGCCTAATATTTTGCCATTTTTGCTGACGTGGCATGCCAGATCAGCCAGCCAGCTTGGGAACGGGCCGTTGACGCTCGAAGACCGAAGCCAAAAGACCATTCTGCCCCCGTCGTGTATTGCTTAAGGGACCATTGCTTAACCAGCGCCGTCTCTCCCCCTCCCATCTGTTCAGTCCACTCGCTTCTCTCCGGGATTCTCTCCCGTCCCTCCCCTTTCATTCCCCGTGGCGGCGCTTGCTCGAGGCGGGCAGGCGGGAGCTCGACGGCGGCGCCAAGTCGCGTCCCCCAAGTCACAGGACGGCACGACGCCTGCAAGGTTAGATCTACTTCCTTCTTCTACCTACGCGCGGCATCTGTGAATGGGGGGATTCCTGATGCTAGGGTTTCCTAATTTTCGTGTGTTGATGTAGGATTCGGATGTAGAGCAAACCATTAGCCACGATGGTGTTGTCTCCGTGCCCCCCATGGTATGTTTCATTGTTATGGCATGTATGTGAGGGGATCCCGTATGTGAGGGATGTCCTAACTCCCGATTTGTTTGTTTTGCTTGTCACTGTCAGGATTGATCCTGACAATGCTTTTAGAATCCATGTTAGCGTTGATAAATACACTTTGGCTAACGACTATGGAGTGGTTGACCTAGATGCTCAAGAACATGACCTGTGGTTTGACAGTAGCAATGTGTACACACTGAATGACTTTGTAGATGATATGGCCAGCAAGATCATTTGGGGCCGCAGTCAGCAACTGCTTATTTGGGGTGTTGACATTGACAGTGGAACAGAGTGGAAGGTTACTAGTAGTGATCAGTTTGAGGAGATGATAATGTCTAGGATGGATGAGAAGGTAATGCATGTTAGTTGTGATGTTGTTGAGAAAGATGCAGTTGGTCTGAATGATGTTGTTAGCAGAGCAAACAAAGGTGGGTCTTCTACTACTGCTGCCCATTCTGGTGTGACAAATGCAGGACATGCAGAGAATGCAGAAGGCTTAGGTGACACTTGTAGTACTCCTGAAGAAGGTAGAGCTGAAGAAAATGTGGTTGATTGGAACACATTGACTATATTGGCTGATGAGAACTGTGATGGTGAAGCTAATCTTTGTGGTAGATGAGGATCAAATCTATGAGGCTTTTTGGATTCAAGGCGTGCAGATGAGGCTACTGCAGATGAGGTTCCTATTCCTAACATACCTGCTGATGTGGAGGATGAAATGAATGAGGCAGCAATCCCTGTTAATGATGACCTAGGAGATGAGCCAATGTTTGGTTGGGATAGAGACAACCCTGACATGAGTGTTGGGACACTGTATCCTTGCATGGATGATTTTAGGATGGCGGTTAGGCAAAGATGCTATTGTGAATGAGTTTCAATTGGGGATGAGAAGTCCGACAAGGAGAGGTTTAGGGCTATTGTAGTTCCAAGGGCTGCCCATGGAAAATTAGAGCTAGGACATCAAGGATGGCGATTGTCGTGGTACCAATACTAACACTTTTTTTGTCCTTTTGGTGTAACCTTATTTCGATATTTGCATGTTGTATATGAATTTATCTTAACTATTTCTGACATTTCTTCATGTATGTGCAGATCCAAATCAATAAGGGTACCCACAAATGTCCTTCAAAGAGTAGAGTTCTTGGGAGGATGGCATCCCAGAAGTGGATTGCTGAGAGGGCTATACCACTATTGAAGGATAATCCTGAGATGGGCCCCAAAGCTGTAAAGGAAGAGTTAGAGAAGAAGTACAACATAAAGATTCCATATCAGACTGTATTTTATGGGAGACAGAGGGCTGCAGATAAATTATTTGGTAAGTGGGATGATTGTTTTGATTATTTGTTTAGAGTCAAGGCTGAGATTGAGCTTAGGTCTCCTGGTAGTGTAGTTGAGATAGATACAGTTACTGTGGAAGGCAAGGTTCACTTCAGTAGATTTTTTATGCCTTCAAAGCAAGTATAGATGGATTTAGAGATGGCTGCAGACCCTATATTAGTGTAGATTCAATCTGCTCTCTCAATGGTGAGTGGAATAGCCACATGCCTGCAGCCAATGCAATAGATGGCCACAATTGGTTGTACCCAATTGCTTTTGGCTTCTTTGATTCAGAGACCAAGGATAATTGGACTTGGTTCATGGAACAGTTAGGGAAAGCAATAGGGCCAATGAACCACTTGGCTATATGCACTGATGCATGCAAAGGGCTAGAAGCAGCTGTGAAAAAGGTTTTCCCTGGAGCAGAGCAGAGAGAGTGTTTCAGGCATCTCATGGAAAATATGAAGAAAAGGTTTACAGGAAATGCCTATGCCAAGTACATGTGGCCAGCAGCAAGGGCATGCACAGTAGAGAAGTTCAATAAATTGATGGACAAAGTTATTGAAGCCTATCCAGGAGTTGTTCCATGGTTGAAGGAACATCACAGTTCTTCAGGGCCAGAGTGGATTCAAGGAAGAGATCAAGTGTGACTTCATAAATAACAATTTGGCTGAATCTTGGAATGCATGGATCCAAGCACACAAAGATCTACCATTAGACATTCTAGCTGATGCTATCAGGCATAAGACAATGGTACTTTTTGAGAAGAGAAGGAAGATATCCAAGGCCCTAAAAGGATTCATACTACCAGCAATAATTCATCAGCTAAATGCAGCCTCAAAGGGACTGAACCATCTGAAGGAAACTAAGGGTGGACCCAACCAAGCAGAGGTGATAGTCATGTACAATGATGAAGTTGTCAAGAGGCATGTTGTCTACCTGGACCAACATGAGTGTACATGCAGAGAGTGGCAAGTGAGTGGCAAGCCCTGTCCCCATGCACTGGCAGTCATAACAACTGAAAGGCAGCCAAATATGGAGCAATATGTGGATGTGGCCTACTCAGTGCACAAGTTCCAAGCAGCATATGCAGGAATGATTCCTGTCATCACTGATAAGAGCCAGTGGCCGGTAGTTGAGAAGGGATTCAAGCTTCTTCCACCAATTGGGAAGAAAAGAGGACTTGGGAGGCAAAGGAAGAAGAGGGTTAAGGGATGCCTAGAGAGAAGTGGCAAAGCCACAAGGCAGGTTACTTGCAAGGGCTGTGGTGAATTAGGCCATAGAAGGACCAGTTGGAGGTGCCCACTAAGTGGCACCAAAAAAAGGTAACTTACTAACCTACCTTTGCTGAAATCCTTTCACCATTATTAACTAACTTAATGAAATTGTAGGAAGAGGACAAGAAAGACAAAGACCAAAAAGGGGCCAAAGAAGGGTGCTGACAGGGAGTATGAACCTGCTCCAGCTAGTGAAACTGCAGCAGCACCACCTGAGCCTTCACCAGCTCCACCAGCAGAAGCAGCACCTGAGCCTTCACCAGCTCCACCAGCAGAAGCAGCACCATCACCAAGGACTCCAAGAACAAGGGCAGCAGTAGCAAGGGAAAGAGAGGCAGAGGAAGCAGCAGCAGCAGCAAGGTAAAATCTGAACCTAAATTGTGACTCAGGAACTTGCCATCTCGACAACAGCTCACTAAACCACTTTCAAATGCAGGAGGTTGAACTTGGAAGCTCCACAACCACTTGAAATGATCATTCCAGAGGCTGAATCTCTGCCAAACCCTGCACCAGCCAAGAAGATGACCCCTAGGAGGAAGCAGCTAGCCACAAAGGTGAAGAGTTCTTCTGCCAAGGGAAACTGATGAAGCAATGAATCCTTGTGATCCATATTTTGGGAACTCTGTTATGTCATTGAAAGGTGCATGAACAACTTGTTATGGTATTGTAAGTTGAATGGACAACTTGTAATGTATTGCCTTATAGGCCTGAACAACTTGTGATGACTTTGCTAGGGTTGTGTCATGTATGCAGACTGAACTTGCTATGTTTGTGTCATGTATGCGGACTGAACTTGCTATGGTTGTCAAGAGCATATCAGTGGTCTTGCAAAGATGATTTTGGATATCATGTACAAGTGAAATAACAGAAACAATATTCTATTAACCATTCAACATTTTCACACATATATGCCCACTGATTGGTCAGACTCATACTAAAACACAGAGCTCATTACTCAACTGAGATACAACTTGAAATAGTTCAACGGGATCCCTAGTTCAACTAACAGACAAGGGAACTAACAACTAGTCAAACTAACAGAGGGATCCCACTAACAGAGAACACATACATAGCTCCAACCACTACACCAAAGACCCATGACCAAGCTCAAAGCCTTCATCATCGCGACCAACCAAAGCATCCAAATCACCTCCATTGAGTTCTTCTCACACACGCACTTTTGATGCCTTTGAATCACCTTCTTCCTCTCATCTACGCCATGTTGTTCTAGATTCATCACAATCTTCCCCTGGTCCACCAATATGGCTAGGTACTCTCGCTGCCACTCAAAAAACCTACAAGATCCTGGAACCTAATCACATGGAAACATATTTGATGTGACAATCGATTCAAAACCCTAACAAATCGGAACCCAAAGAATGTGGCTTACCCCTTGCATGTTCCTGGGACATTTGAAGAAGACACGACCCTTGTTGCATTTCTCATCTGTCTGGGCCACGAGCTTGAGCACCCTCTGCAGCCCACACTCCTCGCACATGATGAGGGGGAGCCCTGTCTGCCTCCCGAGTGGGTACTCCCCTATCCTATCCGGCAGCTACGGACGCCTATTGCGTGTTGATGAGCTCGCTCGACGGGACATGGCGGCTAGGGTTGGGGAGGGCAATGGAGGGGCGCCGGCGACCAAGGACGGGGAGACGAGGGATCCCGGGAGCCGAAGGAAGAAGAAGTGCAGAGAGAAGCGAACAGATGGGAGGAGACGTCGCTGGTTAAGCAATACACGGCGGGGGCAGAATGGTCTTTTGGCTTCGGTCTTCGAGCGTCAACGGCCCGTTCCCAAGCTGGCTGGCTGATCTGGCATGCCACGTCAGTAAAAATGGCAAAATATTAGGTGAGTTACTATTTTCTAGGACATTTTTGTAGTTGTCACCATAAAATTGACAATCAGAGAGTCGGCCTCCGTAAGAGTGGCAAATAATTAGATGTCCCGACTCCAGAGTCATCCCTCCCAACTCCGCTGCTACCTGCTACGCCTTCATCTACATCGCAGGCGCTCTCCCCCCTCACGCGTTCACGCCCTCACCTCAGTCCTCACCGCTCTCGCCCGCCTCCTTAAACCCTCCGCTGTCCGCTCGAACCGGAACCCAACCAAGAACAAATCCAAAACCCAAGCCGCACCATGTCTCGCGTCGCGGGCTCGCGCCTGCTCCCTAGGATCTCTGCGCTCTCCTTCTGCACCGCCTCCCCGGCAACCGCCGCCGCTTCCTCCTCATCATCCACGGCGGCCGCGGCAGCGGCAGCCGCCACCGCATCCGAGGCCTCCTCCACCGCCGGAGATCCATCCTCCCAGCCGCCCCAGGCAGCCCGCAAGCCGTGGGGCGCGCTCAAGTTCGCCGCCTTAACTGCTGTGTCCGCCGCGGTTGGCGGCACGGGCTACGTCAGCTACGGTACGGCTCCCAATCCCTGCCCCGCGCGGGGCCATGCGGTCCCGATGCTCAGCTTCGCGGTTTAGCTCCCCTTGGAGAATCAGCGTGGCCTGGCTTTTGATTCAGTGTCCTGTGCGGTGATTCCTTTTCTTCTCCTGTGTTTAGCTTATTCTCTGGATGAAGTGGATCAGATGACGCGGGAGCTCCGGAAGAAGTCGAAGCAGCCCATTCCTGAGGATGCTTCCGGCTTTGAGGTAATGCTGCAATATGTCAAGTTTAAGTCTCTCTTGTTATCTCATTTTTGTTAGCTAGATAAAGTCGTGGGCAGCAGTGCCTTAAAGTTATTTAGGCGGAATTATGAAATGTGACCTTTGATGATGGGAGATCTAATTAGCCGTGTGAAACACTGATGATGCCACTATCGTGAAGCTGTTGAGGTGGCTATTTGGCAGCCGAACTTCAGCTCTTGAGCTAGAAATTTGTATGTGCTGAAATTGCATATGGGGAACTTTGGTTTTATTGCATTTCTTGCTTCAACCTTGAAATAGCAGCTGTCATTTCCCCCCCACTTATTGTTCCTTCCAAAACTAGTACATGTCCGCCTTGCTAGGATTTGAACATATAGGGTACTAAAATGTTTCAATGACGCTCTATGGTACGCTTGCATTCCGGGAATATAGTAGAAGGCCTGAATTGGTTTTACAGGACTAAGGTTTCCACTGTATCTCAACCATGCAATAAATTAACTATTTTTCTTGCTTGCAGAGGTTTCAGGCTATGGCTTATTCAGCAGCTATGAAAGGTAGTGGCTACAGCATACTCTTTCCTCATTTTTCTCAATACTATCTCTGCCCATTGGACTTTCTGTGTATCATGCATATCTTTTTGACCAGCTAACAAGCAATTCACCATTCTGTTATTCTTTCTTAAACCGGAGCCTTCAGGCAATTTCTGTCTCACTTCACTGTGTATAACTACCACCCTTAAATATAATATTCTATGTCCCTAACACTACAGCCCCTACTGTATGCAGGCTGTAACCTTGAATTTACAATCCCTTTGCAGTAGTCAAATATGATACCAGACATTACATTTGAGAATACCACACAGTAGCATATAGCCATATATGCATGTGTGAAATAGCTAGGTAATGTTAGCAGAAGCTTATATCACACATCATGATTGACTAGAGAAGGTTTGGCAATTGTAGGTAGCACCCTAATTATTAGACTGTTTGAAGTTATGTGCATTAGATATGCCACAGCCAATCGCTAAGGGCATGTGTAGTTGGCACTGTAGTGACTTGTGGTTGTGGATAATTTGACCCATATTGACTGTAAAGTAGTGAACAATGAATCAATGATGGCTGTATCTAAACATGTCACAGGGAAGGAGTGTGATATGAGCTTACTCTTAATCTGCTCATCCTCGATACTGAGTTTTTTGGGTTAACGCCTTCATCTACTTATTGTGTTAGAAAAAAATAAAGCCATACATGCCACTGATTCGAGTTCCGATTTAATTGACGGCTCAGGTTGGCTAGATACTTTAATTCCTTTTTTGCTGCCTCCTTACTAAGGATTGTATGCTTTGTTCTGTAGTTCCTGTTGCCGCTATTGAGGTATACCTGGATGTGAGGAGCCAAATTGAAGATCAAATTCGGGTCAGTACAGATGGTAACTTTTTTTTCCTTCATGGATCCATGTTTGAGAAGGGTGGGCCTGGTGCAAGCGGTAGAGTCTTACCGCCTGTGACCGGAAGGTCCCGGGTTCAAGTCGCGGTCTCCTCGCATTGCACAGGCGAGGGTAAGGCTTGCCACTAACACCCTTCCCCAGACCCCACACAGAGCGGGAGCTCTCTGCACTGGGTACGCCCTTTATGGATCCATGTTTGAGGCTTTGTTGTTGTTGTTGTTGATGGATCCATGTTTGATATTATGAAGAAATGTCAATCATACTAATATATGTTTACCATAGGGCTTTAGCGAACCAGTATCAGACAAACTTCTTCCAGATCTTCTTCCTCAAGAGCAGCATGTATTGACTCTAGTTCTGGATCTGAACGAGACTCTTGTATACTCAGATTGGAAGGTGAACTTTTATGTTCCATACAAACTTTAATTTTTTTGTTTACTATGGAGTATGGATCTCTGTATACTGCAATATATTTTTAGAACATACAATTAAATCTTCCTTTATTATTTTTTTCTATCATACTCATTTCATATTTTGCTTGCCGTATGGTTGACTGATTCATTGAGAATACCAGTCTAATGTTTTTTTCTTAAATAAACATGTGTATAGCGTGAGAGAGGATGGAGGACCTTTAAGAGGCCAGGAGTGGATGCCTTTCTTGAACAACTCGGGAGGTTTTATGAAATTGTTGTGTATTCTGATCAGCTTAGTATGGTAAGTTTTTCAGAGCTTTCAGTTCATTTTTATTTGCAAATGTGTAACCTGCATGAAACTTTGTTGCATGTGCAGTATGTTGATCCTGTTGTTGATAGGCTGGATCCAAAGGGCAATATTCGACACAGGCTATCAAGAGTTGCAACTAAGTATGAAAATGGAAAACATTATCGGGTATGTGGGATATTACACGCTATTGTGTTAGTAAAGGAATTGTTGTGTATTAATCCTTTTGCTTGGCTTAAATATTTTATAAACTGGTTCTTTAAATGTATGGATACTTTGAATACCTGTTTCTGGCAGGTCAGTCCTATTCATCTGTGCTATATTTTCCTACACACTCTAGCCAATAATTTACAGCGCGGTAAGCTAATGGTGGCATAGCATGGATTGAAACATGATAGAGGTTCATATTTCTTGTAATAACTGGTCAAGTTTGTAGAGTGAAAGTGGTTTTACATAAAGTTTCTTGTCCATGTATTAAGTATTTTTTTTCTTCTTGAACACATAGGATAGCTGCATATCATTATATTAACTATTAAGAACCCTTACAAACACACTCTTTATCAATATCCGTGAGAGACAAACCCTGAGCGCTAGCCATGTACCTAAGCTGCATCTCCTCTGGCGAGTGAGAGATTTTCAGGAAGACATGGAGAGGGTCTGTTGAACATAGCGATTCCGGTGCTTCCAAATTGTCCAAGCTCCTAAGATGACAAGGGAATTTAGTCCCTTTTTTTATTTCACCACTGGTTCCTTTAGTGATAATTGATCACCAATCATCCAGGGAAATGTCTTCAGTCTGTGGAGACAGAGTTTGCAAACCAACCTTTTGCAGTAGACTGAAGCAGAATTACTTGGCAAATACACAAAATGAGCAAGTGCTGAATTGTTTCTTCCTCCTGATCACAAAGGAGAATTTGGTGGGATGAGGCAGACCTTGTTGTGCTAAGAGATAGGTAGTCTATAACTTGTGCCACAAGCCATATGAAAAAGCAGCACTTGCTTGGTGTTCCAGATCCTCTCCCATGGCCCAAAGATGTAT